TATCATATGTAGTTCTCGTTGAGCACACCATAGTTAATCAACTACTTAAAAATTAACCTCCTTGAGACCATAGGGAAGGTAGAGGAATGTAGGGTCAATGACACCGTCCTTGTAGTAAGCGAACATAAGACTGCCATCATCTGTACCGCTCTTGTCAGCAAACAATTGCAAATTTTTAAGCTTTGCGAGTAGATACTTGGTTGTTGGCTCAATTTTCTTTTTGAACTCCTCTAGTTCAGTTCCAGCCAATTTCCGGATATTGCTTTAATGTATTTCTTCATATATACAACAAAGTTCTGTAGACGGGTTTGCTCCTGGAGTCTAAACGTATCAACAATGTCAACAACTTTAATGGCCGACAAGTGTCATTCACACCCTCATCCTCTTCGCCACCTTTCGCAGAGGGGTTTGCTCCAATATCTACCTCAACAACTCCTTGAACAACCCAGTTTCCCTCAACTTCCTATAGCAGTCCTCCCTCAATTTCCTTGTAAGGAAATGAATCAGAGAGAAGTTCATCATTAGTCAATAGATCCTAATAGATCAATATGGCACCTCCTTACAAGGGCTCTCTAGAATGTTGTGCTTTTGATTGACTAAATATTGAGTACCATGGTATAATTGAATATTTTATATAATGCATTTGCTAATTTAACAATTTTCTCTAAAATAAAATATCTTGTCATAAATCTGACTTTTAGGATGTTTTTCTTGGATTGTTTTCACTCCCAGACCAGATCAGACAAGACTTAAATAGTCTAGATCAGACCGAACTTAAATAGATCAGATCAGACCATATCAGACTACCGTAGATATAAAATACAAAGAGACCAGACATTTATCAGACCAAAACAGATCAGATCAGTTCAGAGCAGATCAGACCAGACTTAAACAAATCACACAAAACCATCAAATTTCAGTCCAAGTAAAAACATCCTTAATATTATCTTGCCTTGAGCGAGAAAGTAGTTGAGAGTGCTGCTGCCTTAGCCTTGCCGCGAATGGGTGCAACCTTGACCACATTCTCTTGATTTGTTCTCGTCTTAAGGATTGGGAGGCACCAGCCAGCCTAGAGAGAGGCGACAAGAGTATACGCACGACGAGAAACTCAAACTCTAGGCACGCTGCGGTCTCCCATGTAAGAATTTTATCGATCATCTCTTTTCAAATTGGGATTTAACTTCAATCAGATCAATTTAAGCGTTGTAGATTATAATTGCAATGCTCTCAAAGTAGTCCTAAATATCCATAATAGCAAAACAATGTGAAATTCTACAATAGGAGTGTTCTACTTTTTGTCCTAAATAAGGAAAATATTGTCAATTATGAGATTTATACTGTCATACTATTACATGGTATTGTCAAAATATCAAAATATAATTTTCACTTGATACTCCTATTCAAGAACAATAGCACTCCTATTTCAAAGTCATATTATTATTATCCAAGAACCAAAGATTCATTATTTTTTGGCTTGAGATTACGGTGGAATAAATCAAAATGACTCACTAAACTGTATGCGCTTCTTTGTTATGGAGCAGCAGTATGTTCATGCAATTTTGGACGCGATTTTCACTATGGGTCATCCGGAAACAGTCTCTCTGTGCTTTAGTGCAGGGGTAAGACTGCGTACATCCGACCCCCCTTACCCAACCGTAGGTGGGAGCCTTTGCGACACTGGGGTAAATGAAAATGAAAAATGATTATTATTTCTATTTAAGGAATTTTCCTAAATAAAAAACTTAAGTTTTACCAAGGTGTATCAGTTTTAGTGCTTTACCAAGTTTTACATTGCAAAATGTTCACTTGAAGCCATTTTTACATCATACTCCTACATGCATAATATTTAATATTTGGGTAGGAACGGTTTTACCTCCAAACCGCGGTTTTTGTCAAAGGAAAACACTATATTTTGCAGCCAGACACATGCTCATCCCAAGAGCGCTATGAATTCATAGAGTGGAGAATTCCTCATGCCCCAACTTGTGAAAAAAAAGGCATTTTCGGGGACTAAGTTTCCCCGCAAAAAGCTCTCCACACCTACTCTTAGAAAGAACACTTAGCCAAATCTTATGGGCTTGTTGATGCTGTAGGGGTTTCTCTTGGGGCTCAGGGGTGAAGGACTCTCATTCCCAACTGGTGGCACTCGTTAAGAATGATTCTGATCTAGTTCATGGTTTGGCGCTGGGTGAATGGTTAAATGATTTGGTAATTCCTTGCGATAATAAAAAAACAGATTAGATTTGTCGCTAAACGAAAAAGCCATGTCCCACACCCCTTGCGTATGGCTCTCCTTATCAGTCGAGTGGCTTCCGCTCCTCTACTCTAGTGCCGGTTTTTAACCGTAGACATTTTGCCAGGAAGTTTCAATTTTTTGATTTCCCATTCAGCAATCTTTGATTAAAACCCGAATTAGCTTGCTTCCAAACCGCTGAAATACAAACAGGGCCATGTCCGATGGCATATATGCATGATACTCCGTAAATGATTAGGGCTTGTTGAAAAAAATGAATTTTATATTGTCATATATGTTGTACTTTTCTTTTTGAGTTATACTAAAATAAATGTGACATTTCCTTTTTTTGGAAAAAAATATGGTCTGATCCATGGGCGGATCTATGTAGGGCCTAGGGTGGGCTCTAGCCCAGCCCAACCCAATTTTTTTTGTTAGTATAGAAAGAGATTTAATTTTAAGCCCACCCAAAAATTAAAACTCAGCCCACCCCAAGTCTACAAGGAAGTGTTCTAAGAAGCTTTAAAAGCAAAAGGCTGCCCAAACTTTGTTTAAAGCCCATAGTCATGGGAACAAATGATCCTGAGAACAAATGATCCCGATGCGTAATAATAGAGCTTGGTGTGATTGCACCAAGAAGTGATTTATATATAGGACACTCAGGAGGGTGAACCATTCTTACAGTCGGTGTGGGATAAATTGAGGAGCAAAACTTTACATACGGAGTATTAAACAATTGTATGTAGTTGGTGTTTGGAGCCAGCTGCAAATTATGCAATCCCATCTCACCCACTCACCCACACCATCAATGAAAGCACTTTATATTACAAGTTTACAATATTATTTTACAACATAAATTTTATGATTAATATTATATTATTATTATACTGTTATTATTATATGAATATTACTATTATTTGACCCAAGTCACCATGAGTAACTTTTATAAGCATTACAATTTAAACATAATTATAATCACTAAAATAACTAAGTTACTCTTTATCAACTATCCTTATTTGGTCATATACTATTTCTATTATTATTATTATTATTATTATTATTATTATTATTATTATTATTATTATTATTATTATTATTATTATTATTATTATTATTATTATTATTATTATTATTATTATTATTATTATTATTATTATTATTATTATTATTATTATTATTATTATTATTATTATTATTATTATTATTATTATTATTATTATTATTATTATTATTATTATTATTATTATTATTATTATTATTATTATTATTATTATTATTATTATTATTATTATTATTATTATTATTATTATTATTATTATTATTATTATTATTATTATTATTATTATTATTATTATTATTATTATTATTATTATTATTATTATTATTATTATTATTATTATTATTATTATTATTATTATTATTATTATTATTATTATTATTATTATTATTATTATTATTATTATTATTATTATTATTATTATTATTATTATTATTATTATTATTATTATTATTATTATTATTATTATTATTATTATTATTATTATTATTATTATTATTATTATTATTATTATTATTATTATTATTATTATTATTATTATTATTATTATTATTATTATTATTATTATTATTATTATTATTATTATTATTATTATTATTATTATTATTATTATTAAAATTATTATTATTGTTAATAAAATTATAATAGTTTTATTAGTGCATTATTTTTATTTAAAAGTTATGTAATTCTATTTGATTATTAATTTAATTTATGCTCAAACTCGGCTTGAATAAAATAGATATATGAACTCTATTTTTTTAGTGTTCAAATATATTTAAAAAATTGCAATGAAAATGTTTAAAGTTTAAGATAAATAAAATTTATTTCTATAATTTACGAGTTATTGATAGACTCGAGTCCGGATCAAACCGAATACCACTATGCTCGAACTCAGCTTGAACAACTATTCGAACTCAAAATCTAGCTCGTGTTCGAGTTAAAAAAAGCTTCTTAAGCTCAGATCACTAAATTAAATTCGAAATCACGCTCGAATTCGCGTAGTTCGAAAAAAAACTCAATTCGATTACGGCCCTAAGCAGCCTAAGCTAAACTTTTTGTTTGCAATAACAATTTTTTTCCTGCTAAGCCCACCTCACTCTTCATTCCTGGATCCGCCCCTAGTCTGATCTACAACATGTCATTTACTATACTCAAATCTCAATCACAATTTTTAGTTTTTCAACTACCTTATTAATAATTGTGTCAAACCATAGTAGGAGTTTATATTAATACAACCATCTTTGAAACGAGATGAGATTTGAACTTATCATCTCTTCTTTGAGAGTGTCAATATAATATTATCAGATCACATGATACTTGATTTCAATTATGTTAAAAATTTATTTTGGTAATTAAAATTACCACGTTTACACCCTCTTGACAATGAAAACAACTCCGTATAACAGCCGTGACCCGTGGGTTTCGATCTTTTTTACTTTTATCATTTCCTAAAATGACAGCAACGCCATGTTGGTGGTTAATTAATCGGTAATAATGACATAGAAAAACGAGAATAAAAAGTAGTGTCATATGATTGACTTACCGAATTTAACGAAATCGGACGGCTGGCGGCTGTGGTATCATATGATTGACTTGCAGAATTTAACGAAATCGGACGGCTGACGGCTGAAGTTGAGAGGCGGTCTTTTAGTTCTCAGATACGGATGAACTACTATCTTTCTCCTTCATTCTTTGTTTCCTTCTGATTGGACCCTCTCTTCTCTCCCTTCATTCACTATTTTCTCGAAATTTCTTTCCTGGATGTTTCGTGTACGTCTCTCCCCACCCAAGATCATCACCATTCCAATAGTCTAATTCCTCTCCCGCTGACAAAGAAGAACAGGTAAGGGGACATCATCGGATGAATGATTGAATTTGAGCGACTGTTGTTTTAGATGTTTTTTTTTTCAGGGATTATGATTGTTGTTTTGATCGGGTTATTGTTGTTTTTATCATAGCCCTTGAGTGGAATCTTATCTAATTTCTTGGGGTTTTCTCGTTCTTGATTTCCTTGATGACCTCTCCTCTGTTTCTGTTGTGTCCGGTCGGATTGTTGATGATTTTCCGCTGTTGCCGGTGCTTTTGTTTTTCTTGAAACATTTTAGCTATTGACAGGTTGAATCTGAAGAGAATAAAACTTTTTTTTTCTTAAAAAAACTTTTTTTTTTGACTTTTCATCTTCTTTTGTTTTGTTTTTCCTAAAGCTATGAAAACTTTTTAAAGTTTCTTTACCTTTTTACATATTTTTTTCTGGTGGTGGTCCGGTGGGTGGTTGATGGTCCTCTATCCCTATTCTATAAACGAATTTTATACATTTATATGATTGTGTCTGGGGTTGCTTGATTTGTTTGCGTTAATAGAAAGATACTAAAATCTATGCCCGCTTTTATCATCATTATAATCATAATAAGAAAATAGTTTCTGTTTCAGGAGGATGCAGTAAACTGTATATCCATAGGGATTGATGAGTGCGGCTAGTTTGATTCAATAGGAAGCCTTGCCTGTTTTTTATTATATATGTTTTGTTCTTGTTTGGTGCTCCAGCTCAATATCAGCCCAAAGGTGCAAACTTAAAAGCTAGAATTTGAAACTTGTAGCTGTGGATGTGGTTACAGTTTTTGGAAAAATTTGAATGTATATTTCTTCATTATTAAAACTTTGATCATTGGAGTAATTTTTGTCAAAGAATAGGGGCAATATTCTTTGGAGAAATAGCTTTTTATTCTTCCATTGATGCAATTGAATCATAAAAGGGCTATGAGCCCGAATATGCCGTATCTAATACACCCATTATGTTTGCTTGGTAACTAGTAACACATTACGGCTAATGTTCAAGCTGTTCTAACTAGCTCATAATTTCACATAAGCAAATATGCACACATACATGCCCTTGTCCCCCCTGATCCTGCACTTCATGGTAATACTAGATCCAGATATTAATGGAATGAGTTTTCAATTTTATGCAGAAGCAAGCAGGGGAACATGCATATGAATGAACTTTCTGGTAAACGAGTTTTGAATGGGCCCCTAATTAAAAAAAGAGGTTTAAGCGATACCCCTAATGGTAAGGATGAAAGTATCCAACTATGCCCTCGAAATGGATGTAGCGGAAGGCTTAACTGTACTAGAACTGGTGGATGCTTCCCAAAACTTTACTCAACAAAGCAAAGTTTCAATCCTTCTAGTGTAAAGGAAGGCATCGCTAGTTCTTCAAGAACATCTTCTCTTACAGGGAAACCACACACGGAATATCATAGAAAATCACCCTCTCACATAAAAACTGATCGATTGGAGGCTAAAACTTTTCAGAATGAGACATTGATTCAAAAGAAAACAGATTCATCAAGAAATACAGAATCTAGGAAAAGTACGGTTTGGGAAACGGGTTGCTCCAGCGGGTTGTCAGGTTCAAAGAATCAGCCAACACAGCATGGTAATAAATTCAAAAGCGCCAACCAAAAAAGTTTGAGGACTCGAACTCCTAAATGCAGTCCATCAGCATCATCTTCCCTTGCGCATTCATCATCAGAATCTAGGTTTATGAAAAAGAGAAGCTCTCAAAGCGAGAGTAGTAGTTCATCTTCATCTGTACGAAACAAAACAAGCAATCAATTCACCAAAGAAGGCCGTGGATTGCTTAACAATCGCGGGGTTTTAATTTCTGATGTTAATAACAATGCTGTGTTTGGAAGTAATGTAAACTCCAGAGTGAGAAGTCGTGATCAGAACTCACGATTGCTTAGGCCAAATACACCAAATACCCATATGCTCAATTCGACATTTCGATTTTCGACAGATATTTCTCCAAGTGAATCTAGTTCTTACAGTGTTCCTGGTAATGATGATGATAATAGTATACACAGTTTACTGCACTTCCCATCTGTGGAGTTTAACATCGGTCAGACAAATAATCGTGATGGCTTGTGGAGATATAACATGGATGAAATTTCTGGGGTAATCTTCCCATTTGAATCTAAATTACTTCGTTTTGATTGGTATATATTCCTGGTGGTTTAATGTTTGAAGTATGCAGGCATTGTCACAGCTTGAGAGAATTGAAAATGACGAAGAGTTAACATATGAGGTAATTAACCAACTGTTTGATATCTTAGAGGAGCGGGTTGGGTTAATCCGCTTGATTTTCTGAATAATTGTCTGTTTTCTGTTTGTAGCAACTACTGGCACATGAAAGCAATGTATTCCTCAGTGGCATTAGCTTCTTCGACCATCATAGAGACATGAGGCTTGACATTGATGACATGTCATATGAGGTTAGCTATACTTTTGTAGTTTGATGGCTTAAATCGTTTATCATCTGCGTTAGTGTGTTAATCTGACTCCATTGGGTTAGTGGCATGAGATTCAGTGTCAATTAATTTTCTAAAAGAAACTATTTTGCCTTCGGTCCCATCACTACTAGGTCATTCCAACTGTGGGTGGCATACTTCCTTCTTTTCACTTTTGGATATTTCTTACTTTTTGTCATTCAAGTATTTTATGTGTTGATTGATTTTTCACCAAAAAATTGGTCACAAAATACCAAGTGGCAAAAAATTATAGTTGTGCACGAGAAGTGGAAAAAAATTAAAGTCGGGAACTAGTGGTGGAAACAACCTAATTGTCGTGGGGCCAAAAGTTATTTTACTGTCCAAAAATTTCATAAGACTGAATTCATAAAAAAGAACAGTGACACAGTTCTATATTTCTATGTATGCCCTTAGTGTCTTGAGTCTTGACCTTCTAAAAAGAAGTAATAGTGATATAAAATTTTGAAATACTCCATCATGGGTAATGTTTTCTACTGGAATATAAAATATCATGTGAAATGGATAGACCACTATTGTGTTTAGAAAATGTGAATGACATGTACACGTATCATATATTGATCCCTCAATTGATAACCTAAAACTGTAGTCAATGAGGGAGCAAAGGTGAGAGATGATTTCTTTGGGAAACTAAGTTGTTATTTTTGGACCTTTTATGTGGTTAAGCTTGATTTGACAGCAGATTTGAACACATCACTAGAACTCTAAAAGCTCGTTTACAGATAGGTGTATTACTAAACTAATATTTATATCAAATTAAGAAGTCGTATACGTTTAATGTACACACACCCGATTATGTTTTATACTGAGTACCTTTGGTATATAACATGGCTAGCTTAAATGGTTCCAAGGGAAAATTTGGTGAACGATTGAGGTTGGAATCAGGCTAGCAGCCGTGTTGTAATATAACTACCCTCAAAGTGAGGGGGCCCTTGTGCGCAATATGGTACCCGCCTTGACTTTGGGGTCAATTTTGTGTTGACGGTTTTTTCAAAATAATTGTCTTGTTTCCATTTTGGCAAAAAGATGTGGTTCATATCACTTCACCCTTTTCTACTCAAATCTCAACCACATCTTTTACCCTTTTAACCACTTTATTAATAAGTGTGCCAAACAAAACAAGACAATTAATTTAGGTCTGAGGTAGTTGTTGATAGCATGATTGTGGTTAACTTCTAATTGCTTGTAATACAGGAATTACTAGATCTTGGGGAAAGGATGGGCACAGTAAGCACAGCTCTTTCAGAGGAAGCAATGTCGAAGTGCATAAGGAGAAGCATTCATCAGGTTTCATTTAAGGTTGCAGGTATTGCTGGTCTGAAAGGGGTTGAAGATGACAATAAATGCTGTATTTGCCAGGTTATCTCTCCAGCATAATATAATCTCTTATAGACTTCAGAAGGATGCATTGTTTATCATCAACTTGATCATAGCCAAATTGGGGTGCGTGGAAATGGTCATGCAATTTATAAATGTAAACTAGTTTAAAAAAATAGTTCATAAGTTAATACGTAGTTACTTACCATTCCAAAACAGAGAAAGTATATGGAGCATGCCAGTGTGCTCAATACAGAGCACGTTGGTATGATAAATGGTCAAGATTAAAAGACATTTTTTGTCCCCAAAAAGGTGTTTTCATGTTTCAACAAAAGAAGCTATTTTTCATGTAATTCGAAAACAAAAGTTACAAACGAGTTAAATATACTCCGGAGTATTATTTAGTTAAATAAACAAGTAAAATGAAAGTATATAATTATTATAGGATTATGGCTAATGATTTAAAGCAATTGAACTTGCCAAAACTTTAATGTCATACCTTACTCAAATAGTCTCTTTTTTTGGATGGAAATGGTACACGTACTATGAACTAATTCAGAAAAGCAAAGTATCAATTGTTTCACACTTTAGCATCAGATGTTATCCCTGTTGCAACTTTCCCATGAAAGAATAAAACAAGTTAAAATTCCAAAGCTATCCTCTTCGGCATCACATGTTTCTTCACAATAAGATTGACATTATCTAATCACTTGGTACATCATTATTAGTTTATTACATAGAATCTGGTTGACTTCTCTGATAACTATAAACAATAATTTCAATCCTGTATTCCAGTTAGATCAACTGATACCATTCCACTATGAAATTTATTTTTTGGATCTCTTTATGATTTTCCATTGCTTGTTCTTGGATTCCATTGAGTCCTTACTTTGAAGTCAACCTGAGCTGATCAATGTTGCAAAAGAACGTCAGTATATACGATCGGTTTCTTGCGTTGCTCTTATCATCATGCTAACGCGCCTTCTTTTATGCAGGAGGAATATGTGTTGGGGGATGAGATTGGGAAGTTGGAGTGTGAACATAGGTATCATTTGGGGTGCATTCAAAAGTGGCTAAGGATGAAGAATTGGTGCCCTATCTGCAAGGCTTCTGCAGATAGATCATCACAGCCTTAGTTCACAACATGGGGGGTGCCACATGTCAGAGGGTCTCTCTTCAGTTTCCTCTTGTACATATTTACTTTTTATTTTTCTCATAAACATTTTAGAAGCTTTTGGTTTCAATAAAATGGTCAAGAGTACCCGGGGCTAATTGCTCTGCGGTGGAAACTTTTTATAGTTCAGTAGGCGCTGATGTGATATTGTGTTTTGGTTTTTCTGCAAAATGTTAACAGCATAATAACGCTTATACATAAATTTAATGACAAAACTATGGAAATAATCATTTTCGCAATTGTTTTTTCCTCATTCGTCCCCCCTCATAGGGGTGTGTAGTGTGTACAGGCTTTTTGTGATTTTTTTAATTTATTTATTTTTTGAATGATGGGACAAACAATAAAATAGATAAAATTTAAAATAATAATTACTAGTTTGCATTTATGTATCTAGTAACATTATAATGAGTGAAAAAATGCTACGTATATAAAAAAGTGTGAAAAATATCACACTTTTGAAAAATATTCACTAGTTTGAAAAAATTACTAGTTTGCATTTACGTATATAATGAGTAGCATATCACTACCTACGTAACGTGTGAAAAATATTCATTAGGGTATGTTTGAAAAAATTTAAAAAAGTGATTTTCAGCTTTTGGCTTAAAAAGTTGAAAAAAGTGTTTGGAAGTGATAACTTCTATTTAAATTAAACGCATAAAATCTAAAAGCTAGAATTGTTTTTCTCTTTCTATTACACGAAACGAAAAGTACATATTTTATTAAACACTATCAATTTTTACTTTTCAAAATCATTTTTTTCTCGAACACTATCAATTTTTACGATTAATCACTTTTTTCAAAACTACTTTAAAAAGTGCTTTTTAAATCAAAAATATTTGCAAACACTCCCTTAGAGATTTTCAGGTCATGTATATTTGTGTGTTCTTGAATCAACTAAGATATCCTACTCCTGTTTCATGCACCGCACACATATCAATAAGTGAAATGAAAATTTGATAGTGGCACCTACTAGTGAAATAAAAATCAATATGTGACATCACATTTCATGACATTTTCTCAATATTTGAATCTAAATGTAAAATAGTCATTTTTTGGAAATTCACTTCAATTTGGTCACATTTAAGGAAAAACCTTCTCTGATTATCTTGAACATTGAAAGATCTTATTTGATATTTTGATTTGAACGAAAAATCAGGATGAACTATATTAGGATCGGGACTCGGGAGTGAATACACGTTACACACCTTCATTTATATTGTGTCACCGTCATTCTTGTTTTTTATCAAGCATTAGATGGATGAAGCGAGGAACGGTTAACACATAAAAGGGCTAATACATAAAAGGGCTAATGGCACTCATAACTAGAATTGTTAAACAGGCCAACTCGATCTGACTCGTGACAATTATGTTATATGTGGGTTGAGTGGGACTTATCCGTTTACCGGTGGACCAATCCATGTAACTCTAACCCAATCCATGTAACTCGCCGATTAAACGGCCTTGTCCGTGGGAATGTAATAGAATATACAAGTGCATGACAAATTCTTTAAATATACATGACAATTTCTTTAAATATAATATACATGACAAATTTTGGATACGTAGTATATTTATATTGATAAGCATTAATAAAAAATATAAGAAATCAAAATACTAAACACTCAATACTTGGTAGATTTAATTAAATAATACATATATTAAATATCCCTTGGTAGTTAAAAGAAATTTGAAAACTATAAGAGGATATCTAACAAAAACACTCATTGTATAAAGTAAAGATTTACTTAAATCTTTTGAATGATTATTTATAAATTATGACTATTAATTGCTAAAACTTATGTTCAACTTTACATGAAATATATGTTTGAGAAATTTATTTGTATAGTTATTATAGAAATAATAATTATTTTGCAATGGTCGTAAAATGATAAGTATATAATTCTAATTATAATAATTTTGATAGCAAAAGAACAATATGAATATAACGAGACAAAACTATATATTTGTACTTTGGCCCGCGGGTCAACCCATTTAACCCACAACCCGCGTGGTTGGTCAGCGAAAGCCACTTATCCAGAAAATCACAACCCTAATTCACCAATAAATGTGTTGAAACGAGCTAACTTGCGGGTTTCAGACCTGTCTTGACGGCTCGACCGAGAATAAATCTCCAAATCACATTTTTTTGAACGGAAACTTGCCTCTATTCATATCATAAGTTTCAGGATCATTACATCAATCAAAGGAAAAACAAATCTGACATCAACTAAACTCCAACAACTACGAATGTAAACCCTATGATCAGGCTTAGAGACGGTCACCCCTGAAAGAGCAACACGAATCGCTAACCATGCAGCGGGCTTGACACAGCCGTCTCTATTCCCATAGACCCAAACATATCCAATGACATAAAAGGAGGCTAAATTACCAAACAAACTGACAAAGCTAACAACATAGACGATAACAAGAAGTCAAATGATAAAATAATAACAACTAATAGGAGGAGGACGAAACAAGAAAAAGCTAAATAAGCAAAACAAGTATCTTGAACCCTAGCACCTCGCTCATTCCCTGGCGGTGGTTTAGGAGGAGGTCGGATCATCACTATGATTGTTGACACAAACAAGGCACATCTCCCGCCCGTCGCTCGATTGATTCCCTGACACGCAACCTCCGCCTGCCCCGCAATTTTAGCCCCTCTGGATGCCTCCCTTTCTCCCTCCCTTGGCTCCCGCAACTCCTTCTCCATCGGCCGCCACAACACATCTAGCGATATTCCTGCGAACAATTCCTTCTTTGCTAACCTAATCGTCGCTCCAAAGGACGACTAAATCTAAACGCCGCACACAAGACAACAAAAACTGGAACCCTTATTCAAGGGAGACGGCCGCAGGTGATTAGTTTTCATGAGTATTGCCTCCAAATCACATTAATAATTACAATTAGTTGAATGAGCTGAATTACTTATTATTGAGGTTAGTGAAGTTCTGGCTGAATAGCTTACAAAGTATTTGAGTTTGTTTGTATTTCTTAAAATTGATTTACTTGAGTGATTTTAGAAAAGTGATTTGATAAAAAAGTGGTTTTAATGAAATGTTTTGTTAAAGTACAAGCTTACCCATTGCATAAATAAAATATTACTACGTTTACGGTTTACCAAACAACATAGTAATGGATTGGTTGTAATTTTGGAAACTGCTTTTGAATAGTGTTTGCAAACACTCAATCAACTAATATAGTTATCTTCAACATATTCTCCCAATTCAGACAGAAAAGTAACCTCAACCAGCTTTATTTATTTTGATTATTACTCGTTTTCATTTCAACGGTTCTGTCCAAAAATGCTAGTGTCGAACATTTATTTACCAGATAACGTTTGCACTTATTAAAAATGCTATAAAAGGTCAAACCGCTTTTTTTAGATGCCATTTGTCAAACATCCATGTTGGGATATTATCCAGACTTGCTATTATTTCACAAGCCCAATACATTATCCCATTACATAGCCCAATCAGTGAGGTCCATTCCAGCCCATCATGCCGATTCCAGCGCATGTTGCCTGTTTCGGCCCATTTGGCCTTTTCGACCCATTATGCTAGCTTTTGTACTCCTCTTGCCTTTTCTATAAATAAATAGGAGGTTTTCTCTTCATATCGTGGGTTTTTGCTCTTCTTCTCCACCCCTTCTCTCCAGAAAGCTTCTAACTCTATTAATTGCTACTTGAGCAGTTGAGCCTTGTTTTCATACAATGTAAATGGAGATAGAGATCAATGAAATGAGAATGACATGAACATTAGCTCAAAAAATCTCATGATTTTCTTCCTTTCGGATTTCCACGTTAAAATAGAGTTTTTATTTACTATTTCAGACCCTTTTGAATAGTGTTTGAAAACAGTCCCTTAATTGAATGAGTTATGAAAAATGTGTGTAAAATATGTTCTATTAACAAAAAACAAGTATATGATAATATAGCTCATATAGTTATCTTCAACATATTCTCCCAATTTTTTTGAAACAACCCCAATATTCTCCCAGTTTCAACAATCCCTATATTTTTTGAAACCCTTTAATTTGTTATTTACATTGCTCACCAAAATCATATACCCGCATTTGTTTGAAGGACGATCGTAAATCCCAAATTCCAAGTGCAAATGATTTATTATTAGCTTGTTTTTATTTAGACTCAAATGCTTTGATATTGTCTAATTTGGGCTAGTCTGAAAGATGTGTGATTGATATCTATTTTATACTTCGATGATTTAAGTCTGATTTAATGGAATCTAGTTTAATTAAAAAGATGTTAAATCTTACTCCCTCCGTCCCGAATTGAATTGCAAACTTTGACCAGCACAAGGATTAAGAAATGATAATAAATGATACTCCCTCCGGTTCTTATTAAAGTTCCCACTTTCCTTTTTGGGATGTCCCTTATTTAAGTTCACAGTTCCATTTTAGAAAACAAAACAATGCAAAACAGTGCCAAACAGTGTCCAAACAATGCCAAACAGTACCAAACAGTGCACTCCACAGTAAAGTCAAATTCATTTTCTTAATATGTGTGAATGTGTGATGTCAAACTGGGAACTTTAATAAGAACCGGAGGGAGTATTTGTTTTTTACACTTTTGCCCATCTTTCAAAAAGTAGATGTCTTTAAGTTAATGAGAAAAAAGTAAAAGTAAATGTAAATTTGTCACTTTATTCTTATTTAGATACCTAAAATAGAAAGTGTAAAATCATTTTGGGACGGATGGAGTACAATAATTGAAGGTTAAAACGCTAAAGTTGAAGCGTGAACGCATATGCAGAGAGTACCACAAAATTTGTATGGTCAGAAATAATTAGACCAAAATAAAAACGACAAATTGAATAAGTTCGTTATTTCAGTTGAGAAGATTTCGCCATTCCACATTGGCAATATGAGCGGACGGAGAGAGGCTCCCTTCTCTTCTGTCGCTTGTCTTTCGGTTCTTTTCTCCCATATTCCCGAAAAGCTTCGGGCGGCGGAGGCAAGCCGCGGCGGCCGTTCTGTCGTGGTGGAGCTAATCCATAGTTTTATTGTTGTAACATATAATCCAAATTGAAATGGATTCCACCATTCTCGACGACGGTTCCGCAGGCCCCCTCACTGTCGTGGCTGTCGATAAAGATAAGAACAGCGGCTCCGCCGTGAAATGGGCGGTCGATAATCTCCTTCTTAGCAATCCCTTTCTTATCCTTCTCCACGTGCGAAACAAATCATTACCAAATCGTAGGTACCCTAGGTCTTAGTTTTTTTGTTGTTGTTCCAATTGTTAGAA